TATACAAATTTTATCCATATAGGATGTTAACATTTGAATGTTTGTTGCTTTTTGAGTGATGTATGATCTAATCGATAATGCTCCCCTACCTACGGTGGACACATATTAATATACCTGCCGTTTATGTGGTATGCACTCATTGGTGATGTTAATATGTTCAAAAAATATATGATCAATGTGTGTATGCCACATAAAAGGTGGGCATATTAACATGTGTCCACTGTGGGTAGGGGAGCATTACCGATGATCTAATAGCTTTATTTGCTACTTTGGTCTGTCGTTTAACAATTATAGCTCCATGTAAATTAGCTCATCACTTATACATTGTAATTAGCTCCACGTGTGTATTAATAGCTTCAAGTAAATTAGCTCACAACTTAGCTAGTGTAACTAGCTCCACGTGTGTAATAATAGCTCCAAGAAAATTTGTTTAACATGTGTAATAATAGCTCTAAGTAAATTAATTAGCTCACCACTTATGTAGTATAACGAACTTCACTTGTGTAGTAATAGCTCGAAGTAAATTAGCTAGTTTTACTAGCTCCAAAAATAGCTCTAAGTGAATTAGCTAGTGCAACAAGCTCCAAATTAGCTGGTGATACCCAATTTGTTCACAGCTAATAGAAGAGTGACACATGGCAAAGCAAACGGGGCCTAAAAATGGGTTAAAATGCCCAAAAAATGGATTCTAAAGGTGCTGATTTTTCTAAGTCTGGAACAGATACGAACAGGAAGTATTTCGGACCAAACATAGCCCTGAAGTACGAACATAAAGTATTCTGGACCGAGCAGGACCACAAAGTACGAATAGAAAGTATTCCAGACCGAATGGGCCTCAAAGGGCGAGCAGGTACTCAATGTACGAACATGATGTATTCCGGACAGAATGGACCTCAAAGGATGAACAGGTACTCAAATTACGAACATAAAGTATTCTGGACCGAATGGACCTCGAAGGACGAATAGGTACTCAAAGTACGAACAGAAAGTAATTTGGACTGAATGGACCTCAAAGGACGAACATGTACTCAAAATATGAACATAAAGCATTTTAGACCGAACGGGTCCTCAAAGGACGAACATAACTCACAGGATGAACAAGCCCATGAATAGTAACTTGTACTACACATAATGAACAGTACATGTAGTACAAATGTACTACATTATAGACTAAGCTCAATGATGGAGAAGAGGGAGAGGAAAATTCATTCTTAAAAGGAGAAAACATTTTAATTCTCTGAGAGGCTTAACCCAATGATATATTCATATTTTTTGTATAGTTTAATTCATGTATCCTCTCATGATTCATATAAAAAAAGTCACGGATAGATCGAGTATCCGTTTCGAATAAACTATATAATTCCATTCATGCAGACCGAACCGAGCGTATATTTAGTATGCAGTTCGTACAACATTGTTGATATTTTATTAGCATCAACATTAGCTTCAAGTGAATTAGCTAGTGCAACTACCTCCATAATAGCTCTATGGCATGATTGGTATATATATTGGAATGAAATTTGATATAAATGGAATGCGTTGAAGAATAGAATGAATATGAGAAAGGAATGAAACAAGTTTTTTTTCCATTGATGTGTTTGGTATACAGAAGGAATAATACCTGAATAGAATGACGTTACTTTTATCATTCTATATTATTATTTAACTATTTTATAGAAAACAAATATTTGTATTAATGTTAGGTTTTTGTTTGTCCTATTTTTGTTACGTTTTTTTTTGTGTTTATTTTCTTATTCTTTTTCCCCCAATTTGAGTCTTTTATTTGGTTTTAGAGTCTTTTTATTGTTTTATGTGTGTTTTATGTGTTTGTAAGCATTTTGGTGTTTTTCTTTCGTTTTCCGGTATTTTTCCTGTTTTCTTCTTGTTTTTTTTTGTGCAGGTCGAAAACCCCGTGAGGATTGGATTAAGCTCGGAATTTGATCATTTAAAAACAACTAACTAGATAAGTTAGTTAGCGACAAGTGAGAAAAAGCGGAATTCGATTTCGAGTTCGGATGAATCCAAACGGGGCTGAAATGTAAAGCTGAGCAAGTTACCGACCCTGTAAAGGTTGAAAATTCCACAAAATTCGTATTCTGGGCAAAAGTGTGGTTTGCAAGCATCATTGGATAGAGGGGTGCGTTAGCTACGCGTAGGAAAAAATGGAACTCAATTCCGAGTCCAAACGAGCCCGAACGAGCGAAAACCGTGAAGACATGCAAGCTGCCGACACAGTAGCGGCGCTAACTAAGTAGTGCCAAGGGCAACCTTTCCTCTGTCGGCATAGTAGCGGCGCTACTACCCTAGTAGCGGTGCTACTACCCCTGTTTCTGCAGCTGGTGAACTTTTTAAGCTCATTTTAGTGATGGTTGGTGCCAAATATCATCAATGACGTAGAAGACAACAAAAAGGGGTGATATCATGCTATTATTGCTACAAAAGAGGATTATTTGGCTATAAAAGGGGGACAACTCCAAGCTTGAAAATCATCATTTCCTTTCACAAAATCTCTTAAACTTTCATTATGTTCTTCTTGTGTCTCGTTCTTCTTGAAGTTTATCTTCATGCATGTTCATAAATAAAGAGTGTAAGATTTGTATTTCTTCCGGTTTAAGTTCTCGTGGTATATTAACCCTTCAATAATAATCGTAAGTCTTCATTATCTTTTCTTAAAAATGATGATGGCTTGGGTTAGTATTGAGGTTTTGGTTTTTATTATCATGAGTAACTAAACAATCTTGTTAGGGAGAGGGGAATGATTGTTTCGGTTTGATGTTAATGAATTGTTGTTGATTGTTCATATCGTTTCGAGTTATATTTATTTTTATGGTTCAGTTGATTAAAAATCTTTTAAACCTACTTAATTAACTTTAAAACCGAGAGGGGCGAAGTTAGTCGATCTCGGCTCGAAACGAGTAAGCATGTTCGTAA